TAAAAAGGCTTCTTGATCCAAAGTTTTTTCATCAGACACAGAATCTTCACTGTCAGAAGACGTTGATTCAAGACCAGAATACACAGTAACTAATGGAACGACTGTCTATAGAAATTTGCATATGAGCATCATCCTCTTGTAGATGTGCTAAAAACAAGCAAAAGTACCGCTTTTCCTCGCCTGACGCTTCACAGTGACTGCCTTAGAGTATATGTTGTCATACCCACATGGACACGTTTATAGCTAAATTGATATGCGGATGGGGTATGATTGGGCCTTTGAGGCCCATGGTAACAGTTAGTGAATGTAGATTTCAAATTAATAATTTGTATTTATTTTTTATAAAGCTGAGGTTTGACACGTAAAAACAGGGATAGAGACGTTTTTGAGAAAAAAGCTCTGGAACCGTGTATGTTACCTGCTCTACTGGAGGGTTTACAGTAGCAGACACTCATTATACATTGTCACAGAATACATCAACAATTAAATGTACACATACACGCGATGCGTGTTAAGTATTATACACAAATGTTTAAAACAGTCTTCAATTGAATAATAGAAAAATTCAATTTAATAAATAAACTTGAAATTTAACGATCAAATACAGCATACAATAGTGAAAATGGTTAATTTCTCCGAAAGATACTATTACTTCAGCCAAAATCATCTGTATACATGCATCATAATAGCTCATCACTCTTGCGAATATATAATTACTTGTTTTTTTCCATCTATATTGCATTTTATTTTTCTGAGAGACTAATCATTAGCATAGTTCATATCCTGAACTGTATGCTCTCATTAATCTGTCTGTGGCGAAAACATTGAAGAACAAGCTACTAGACAGAATAAATTTGGTGGCTATATTTCACCTCTGCAAACTAACTGTTTCTAACTGGTTTAATCACTAACAATACGTGCAATTATAGAAAAAAATTTGCCTATCATTCATAATTAAGATGAATGTTCATTTTCCCATAAAAGTAGGCGGATGAGTGTTTTACGCCAGAGTAAGCCAAAGACAATGTACGTTTTGATGAACTCATGACTGTACTATTTGTTAAACATACCAGAGAGACGTGTGTCAACCAAGTCAGCGAGCCTGACCACCCGACCCCGTTAGTCCCCTCTCACAACAAGCATGGGTTGATGAAGACCAATTATAACCCGGATGTATACGGGTTTTGACGTTGTGACACTGCTGGGGTTTAAAGCAATTTTTAACAGAAGTAGCAAAGCAGAGAGTGAATATTCAGGATTGACATATTGTGGGTCACTTTGAACGGACATGATGTGATAAATGCCTATGACCTACATCACTTTAGGCTTTCGGTCGTACCCTTTCAAGGACTAAAGCCAAGCATACCAAACCCCTCATTCGGGAAATCAAGTGTAATTAAGGACAGAAATAGAAAAATTACAGGTTATATCACTGACAATTGACAGAACAAATGATTAAGAACGAGTCTAATTTCTTTACAACCACACTAATTTAGGGAAATCAAAGGTTATTACTGACAGCTATTAGAAGAATTACAAGTTTTATTACAGAAAATGGACAAGGAACGAATGATTAAGAACGATTATAATTTCTTTATCAACACCAAAATCATATTCAGCCAAGAGACGTATATCGTTCAATGAACACTAGTGAAAGGCGAATATCATGTGAGTTCTAACCAATGGCTGAATGCAAAAACTTGTTCAGTCGAAACAGAGAGTTCACATTAACATTCAGAGAGCTCACATTAACATATATAAGGACGTATGGACTATATATAACAACCTACCTTAGCAGCAGGAGCGTAGCAAGCACAGAGATTGGGAAGGTAGGTACTTGGGTCCTTAGCAGTAGGAGCGTAGCAAGCACAGAGACTGGGAAGGTAGGTACTTGGGTCCTTAGCAGTAGGAGAGTAGCAGAAAGCACAAGGATTGGACAGGTACATACCTTGGTTTGTACTTGGTTCGTTAACAGTGGGAACGTAGCAAGCACAAGGGTTGGACAGGTACATAGCTTGGTTTGTACTTGGTTCGTTAACAGTGGGAACGTAGCGAGCACAAGGGTTGGGCAGGTACATACCTTGGTTTGTACTTGGTTCGTTTACAGTGGGAGAGTAGCAGAAAGCACAAGGATTGGACAGGTACATAGCTTGGTTTGTACTTGGTTCGTTAACAGTGGGAGAGTAGCAGAAAGCACAAGGATTGGACAGGTACATAGCTTGGTTTGTACTTGGTTCGTTAACAGTGGGAGAGTAGCAGAAAGCACAAGGATTGGACAGGTACATAGCTTGGTTTGTACTTGGTTCGTTAACAGTGGGAGAGTAGCAGAAAGCACAAGGATTGGACAGGTACATAGCTTGGTTTGTACTTGGTTCGTTAACAGTGGGAGAGTAGCAGAAAGCACAAGGATTGGACAGGTACATAGCTTGGTTTGTACTTGGTTCGTTAACAGTGGGAGAGTAGCAGAAAGCACAAGGATTGGACAGGTACATAGCTTGGTTTGTACTTGGTTCGTTAACAGTGGGAACGTAGCAAGCACAAGGGTTGGACAGGTACATAGCTTGGTTTGTACTTGGTTCGTTAACAGTGGGAGAGTAGCAGAAAGCACAAGGATTGGACAGGTACATAGCTTGGTTTGTACTTGGTTCGTTTACAGTGGGAACGTAGCAAGCACAAGGGTTGTGCAGGTGTGTATTTGGTCCGTTAACAGTAGGACCGTAGAAAGCACAAGGATTGGGCAGGGTCGTAACTGGTTCGTTAGCAGTAGGACCGTAGAAAGCACAAGGATTGGGCAGGGTTGTACCTGGTTCGTTAGCAGTAGGACCGTAGAAAGCACAAGGATTGGGCATGGTTGTACCTGGTTCGTTAGCAGGAGGACCGTAGAAAGCACAAGGATTGGGAAGGGTTGTAACTGGTTCGTTAGGAGTAGGAGCGTAGAAAGCACAAGGATTGGGAAGGGCAGTAAGTGGTTCGTTAGCAGGAGGACAGTAGAAAGCACACGTATTAGGCAGGGTTGTAACTGGTTCGTTAGGAGTATGACCGTAGAAAGCACGAGGATTGGGCAGGGTTGTAACTGGTTCGTTAGCAGGAGGACCGTACAAAGTTCAAAGATTGGGCAGGTGTATATTTGGTTCGTTAGCAGTGGCGCCGTATCAGCAAGGACAAGGATTGGGTAGGTATGTACTTGGTTCGTTAGCAGTAGGACCGTACAAAGTTCAAAGATTGGGCAGGTGTATATTTGGTTCGTTAGCAGTGGCGCCGTATCAGCAAGGACAAGGATTGGGCAGGTATGTACTTGGTTCGTTAGCAGTAGGACCGTAGAAAGCACAAGGATTGAGCAGGGTTGTACCTGGTTCGTTAGCAGTGGGAGCGTAGAAAGCACGAGGATTCGGCAGGTAGGTACTTGGTTCGTTACGAGTAGGACCGTAGAAAGCACAGAGATTGGACAGGTATGTACTTGGTTCGTTATTAGTAGGAGCGTAGAAAGCACAATGATCGGGCACGTATGTACTTGGTTGACTAACAGTAGGACTGTAGAAAGTTCAAAGATTGAGCAGGTGTGTATTTGGTTGGAGAGTTCAAAGCACACGGATTGGGCAGGTATGTACTTGGTTCGTTAGCAGTGGGAACGTAGCAGCAAGCACAAGGATCGGGCAGGTATGTACTACTACTACTACTACTACTACTACTACTACTACTACTACTACTACAGTTACATCTCACCAGATTGCCTGGAAAGAGATATAAAGAAGTCCAAAACTTATGCTACCGTCTTCGCCATGCCCGTGGCTTTGACTCCGAAGTCCATCCATAGTACGACCTTGAACATGTCCAGGGCGCCATGGAAAATGATGCTGTCAAACTTATGTGCAATAGGCCTATATACAGCCTCAGAAGATTTCTAGCCAACAAACCTGATCTTATCCTTTTTCATAAAGCCAATGAATTTATTTATATCATTGAATTTTCTGTCCCTTTTCACGGCAACGTGACTGGCAAGATTCAGGAAAAGCATGCTAAATATGTTGACATCGCCTTTGAAATGTCTCACTTGCATCCACAGTACACTGTCGTCAGACTCCCCATTGTTCTCGGTGCCCCTGGTTTGGTACCTCCTGATCTCTTGGCGCAGATCAGGAGAGTGCCCGGGTTCTCCACCGGGAGCACAGCCCTTCTGACACTTTGGGTAATGCAGAAGTCCCATTCGCTGTCTGGGCTGCGAGTAGAGGGGGCAAGGGCCCTGAGCTGATTATTGGCCTTACCAGCCTGACTGTGCCAGGGTCACCCGGACCCTCTCTGCTGCATTTTTCATCTTAGTCTGTGAAACATAATGATAATAATAATGGCCCTGAACCCCACACCGCACATAACTCTAAGCGCAAACAAAAACGAGATGAACAATTGTCAGTGATTATTAGACAAATGGGTCTTAGGTCACATTTAAAAGTAGTCAAGGAAGGGTCACATCTAAGGTGAAGGGGAAGAGAGTTCCATAGAACAGCAGGAGAATGTTTGAAGGATCTGGCACCAACTGTCTTCAACTTGTAGGAATTTATCAGCTGAACGAAGGTTTCTGGAAGGTTGATACACTACAGTAAGAGTTAGAAGATATGGAAGGCAGATCTTAGAGGCTGATTGGTAGGCAAGACATATGACTTCAAATTGTATTCTTTCATGGACTTGTAGCCAATGAAGTGATTTCAGTACAATAATAAAACAGCATTTCAACATGCAATGTGCAAGTTATGTATTTTTATTATGAATGCAAAATTTATTAATTTCTTTGAGAATACCTAGGATAACGAGTGAAAAGAAACATCACGTGATTCAAATGAAATAAATAAACACAGCGTGTCATTTACAGCGAAAAGATTTTGTCTTGGGAACTGTCAACACCTCAGGGTCTTGTAACGCTAAGAACTAGCATTATGCTCATATTGTCCATGGCGGGGTATAAGCACTATAGCCCCACGGTTAACACTTCGTGTATGTCGTTGTGTTGCAATAGTTGTGTATATCTGCATTTCAGTTACAGACACAATGCTGGTTAGCCTGTTCTCCACCGTCGTCCTGATTTGCCTTCCTGTCATCACATACGGAAACAGTGAGTGTTTTCACTCCTCTAACTGTCTGATACTTCCTATTATGTTGTTTGCTGTTGTTGTTTAACGAAGCACTTAGCAATATTCATGCTGTAATCGAGTCTGGACCAGACAATACGGTGAACAACAGCATGAGAATAGATCTATGTAACTGTGATGCGATGACGTGTCAGCCAAGTCAGCGAGCCTGACACCCGGTCGCCCTTTACGACAAGCATGGGTTACTGAAGACCAATTCTAACCCAGATCTTCATGGGTCAGTTCCATACATTAGATCATTGTCTTGAGTGAGTGAGTGAGTTGTACCAAAGTGATGATGAAATCAACCATCATCAAAAATTCTCCAAGTGACCAAGAATCTGCATCTAAATCATGTGACCAATAAAATTATGATGTGTCACAGCACAAGAGGAATAAAATCTAAGGAGTGTATATCTTTGCTAAAACTGCAATATACATTGTGTGAACAAGACCACCAAATGTAGGCAACTTGTCAATGAAAGTTGATCCACCTGTCCTCTTCAATTTTATGTCAGGGAGTTAATTTTTGGATAATATTTGCCTTGAGACAGTTGACAATAGTCTTTTCCTTTGCACAATATGTTTTTCCTTGTTTCTCAAAAACAAAATTTATTGCGCGAACACAATGCCCTAGGAATGACAATATGGCATTTGGCACATTCGGCAAAGGTACAAAAATCGTTATACTTTGGACATTAAACCTAATATCGTGTTTACCTTTTATGCATTCTTAGCCAGTCACTCTGAGAAAACGAAAAATGATAGGACAAAAATACTTTGACGTGGTGTCATTTGCGTTTGTAACAATAATCATGACCCGTGATGATCCGGGTTAGAATTGGTCTTCAGCAACTCGTGCTTGTGAAAGGCGACTAACGGAATCAGGGTCCCGTTCCTCAAAGCTATCGAAGAGCTACGATGATCGTAACTCCCAAACTTTAACATAGACTTACGACTGTCGTAGCGCTACGATCGCTTTGAGGAACGGGGCCCATGGCCTAGATTTTCGAAGCTCTCTTAGCGCTAAGATAGTCGTAAGTGGAATACATTAACATTAACTTACGACTATCTTAGCGCTAAGAGAGCTTCGAAAATCTAGGCCCTGGTGGCCAGGCTCACTGCTAGGGTTGATGCATGCCATTGTATCCCATTTCCGTAGATCGATGGGGGCTCGCAGATACGTATGTGGATACGCTGGTTACGATATGCAACGTATCTCGATACGCCAAAATTCCAAAATAAAGGCCAAACACTGAAACACAAAAGCTTACGCAAACACGAATGTAAAATATCTTAAACCTATCCCAAACAAAAAGTTTCTGGTGTCCCCCGCTATGATATTGCTGCAATATTGCTTAAAGCGGCGTAAAACCCAACTCACTCACTCTTACTTTAACGGGATAATAAACTGACGCACAAAAGAAAGAACACGCCTGGCTAGCTATTCTATTATAGCCCTACGAACGTCGTAAGCCAATTCTTAACACATTGCCTGCGATCAAAGTTAAGAATTCTTAGACGAACGTTTCGAAAATAAGGGCCCAAGTGTTTGGCTTTTTTCGCAATACGTACTCAAAGTTTGGGAATTGAAGTCACAAAACCCTTTTCAAACTATTTACGTTGTATGAGGAAACTATTTCCAAAACTCCAGATGTGTAGTTTCTTTTGTACGTCAGTTTATTATCCCTTGTAAGACCAACGCTTCTATTGACGAATTTCGTTCCAGGATCTTCACAAGCGGGTGCCGCGGGTACTGATGGAGAGGTGAGTGAAAACGTGTTTACACCTGAATGCTATTCCGATCAAAGTAATGTCTTTTTGTGAGCACCAGTAAAGGTTTAAAATGTCATTGATGGCATGATCTGCTGGATTGGACCTTATCATATGGCAAAGGTGAAGATCCGGGTTTGAATCGGTCTTCAGCAAGGCTGTGTATTGGCAAATAAATTGTATTGCGATATATTGCGAATCAGGTACCCGTATTGCGATATATTGTGAACGTAAGTGGTTGACAGTGAGTGGCACTAAGTGTGTACATCAATCCTATCTTCTACACTATAAGTTCCTTAACATATATGTTATGGTTCTGACAACAGCAATCTCAATATTAGGTTCCAGTCATGGATTCTAGTTTCTTTTTTAAAGAATTTATTTAGGAGATAAACCTAGTGTGTTTGAAAATCAGAGACATGCTTTACTGAATTGATGGCGACTAAATTTCAATTGGAACCGAACGCGTAGCGTGAGGTTTCAATTGAAATTTAATCGCCATCAATTCAGTAAAGCATGTCTGTGTTTGAAAATCAGAGACATGCTTTACTGAAATATTTAGTCGCCATCAATTCAGTAAAGCATGTCTCTGATTTTCAAACAAACTAGGGTTATCTCCATTCTACCATGACCCATTTAAAATCGAACTTCCTCGCTCTGCGGAAGACACTGCGTAATCCGGCATGGGACGAGAGGCGAATTGAACTCGTCTGTGAAGGGAGCGGTAGATGCTGTTCGTATTTTTTTAACATTACAACATAACAATATTCTGTCCAAAGAAATCAAACTACTGTTTATTCAATGCAATTAGGTAATACCCGAGCAATACCAACTCCACACGACTAAAACCAGCCTATTGTTTTGTGTGCCGTGAAACTGTACCCCCCTGGCCACACTATAATGGAATCGTCTGACCTACTTATTTTCTTGGCAGTAGACAGTTACGTAACAGTTTGAAATGGCGGACGAGCCAGTGTTGTTTACATTTTGCGAAAGGTTGAAATTTGAAGTGACAGTGGACAAATACTTGACTGACTGTTGAATCTGAACCCTGCAGAATCGAAGAATAGATCCTTTCTTGATCAACCTACGACCTGTAACTCATCAAAGACTGTTGATTTTTATGACCGGCCGATCATGATTTCACGTACCGCCTCCACCCTGGCATGCGACAAAAAGTGACAGTACTGCTGCTAAGCCCCGCCCACTTCGTTTTGACGTTAGGGGGACAACCACTGGCAAGTCACAATGGCGTCACTGCCTGCGAAACGTTACGTGATTGCGAACGTTGTTGATGAATTCTGCTTGTGATACTTTGGTATCCGCCGTTTGTGAATGTTATTTAAAGAGGCAAGTTATACGTATGTGATTTTTGATATATTTTAGCTGGCAGATTACAACTGGCGAGTGAAAATGAGTTACATGCCCGATGAAAAAGCGTCTCGACTAGCTGCTGAGACTGTAGGAAGCGTAATTTCTTTCGAATCAATTAATCTATCTGGCAATTCACCTCCGTCACAGATATTAGCAGGGGAAGGATAACTGAATTTTGTTGTTTGGGTTTATAATTTTTTAAAACTCGTGAACACAACCACATGTTCATGTTGCAGATCTTTCGGTATCTATAAATGGATTATCAACACTGCGCGTGGCGCTGTTCAAATTTAGTTCAATAATCTGAAGGCATGGGTTTCTATCTTTTAATGAATTAAGAGAATGGTAAATAAAAAGCAGAAAATATTTCCCGTCTACTACTTCATGCACCTTATTTGTCTGTACAATTAATGTAAACAAATCAATCACAGCATAACCTATTTGATCTAATTTGGAAATCTGGAAAAGGTAATTGGGCTTGTAAACAATATGTTTCCATGGAGGTATCTGGACATACCCAGAAGCAAATATTCAACAGCTGATCTGCAGCAACTCTCAGTAAAGTTTCTCTCTTCAAAATCTGTACACCATGATAAAATGACACTGAATATAAGGAAATCATTTTTTTAATCATCATTTCCATTTAATTTTTCTATATGTACTTTGTTGTGGAATCCTAACTTACATACAAACTTCCACAATACTTGACTTCATGAACTGCCAGCGTTTATGTGCAGGTATGTCACAGCACCAGAACACAAACAAGATCCAAGATACAGTCTGCACCTGTACACTAGCTGACCCATCTTCCAGAAATAGGAAACATGTGATGCAAAATTTTGGAACAGAGAATCCACAGTTATCCGAACAATTAACTAGCATTGAAATAGAATGGTACACAAAATACAAATGTAGATCTATTGTTTTCATCAGAGATGTTTAACTGCTAACTACTAGTGTAAATAAGGTTGCAAAGAATATATCCTATGTTCAAAGCCTTCTGTCAATACAATTACATATTGACATTATTTGCTTCTTAATTAAACAATGATAATCTTTGATTTATTAGATCCGAGATTATATCCCTAGAGGACATAACACTGATTTTGATCTATTTCCTTTTCTGAGATACTTACTGGTGTCATAAAAATTATAGTAAAGTTGATTCAAAATTTGGTAAAAGTCATAACAAAGGTTTAGGAAAACAGACATGAAAATGTCCTGAAGCGTTCACCTCCTACAAACCAGTGTGCAATTTAATATGAAGCTCATTTTGCAAATAATCATCGACAAACCTTGAACAATTTGTCCAAATCCACCATCTTAATAAACACTAGCTTTGGCTCAGTCTTCAAATATTAGTAACCTCCTAAAAAACTTATGATTTATCAGAAGAATTACATCAAATATGGGTTATATATATGTTTCAATCTTTATTCCGTTACATGAAAAGCCACCTGAGATTTTTGTAAATTATTCTGTTCCAGGACTGGATAATGACTGACCAGGGTTTGATCAAAACGTAGCCTTTGCTTTTTCAAATTTTCTGGATGTTGAAATAACTTTAATGAGTTATGATACTAGCAATCACTTTCAGAATTATCTTATTAGTAAATGTAGTATTTAAAAAAAACATCTAAAAGCAGGAGCCAAGTAAATACTAAGTGATTGTCCTGCCATGATATGTATGGTGTTTGTTTGCCTAGTTCTGCCTTAAAATCTAAAAAAATCTGATATGTCAATCAATTAAATAATTATTGATTATTGATTATTGATTAGATTATTATTAATTTTATTACCCGTCCACGTTTACAAAAAAAGCAAGATTCTTAAAACATACCTTGATATCATTTCCAGTGAATTAATCAAAATTACAGTTGTAATATTACTCCTAAAATGTACCATTATATGTGAATAATTTATGTGGCAACAAAACTTCAAATACTGCAGTAATGTACTCATAATTAAGATATACACTTTATTTCACTCCGTCCAATACTCCAGAAAGTCACTATTCTTCTCACATAGTTTTCGTATTCAATCAACATGGAGGAAGGTAATTCAGTTCAAAGTCCCATGCAACTCTTTATAAAAATCTGAAATATTTAAAGCATGGTTTATAGGCACTCATATGAGCTAATTTTGATACTTGGATATTGCATGATAGGCAACTGCTGACACTGACAATATTTCCGTTTGAATAAAAAAATATTACTCCTCGAATATTTTGCTCTGTTAACAAAGATACTGTAGGCCTTCAGATTGTGCTCATGAAACTTAAAACATCCTAAAATGTGTGACAAATTTAAGAATATCTAAGAGCGAAGGGGACAATATCCGCCACATGGTTCTTTCCATGTAACAAGTTTTGCTATTTCGGTTTGACCCTAACCGAAATAAAGATTTGTTTACATTGTGTTGTCGGCTTTCTCGCCTGTCTCATTTGAGGTTTATGGCGTAGAACCAACTCAATGCCTAGTAGTGACTAAAAAACGTTAAGTAAAACAATTTTGTAGTTACAAAGAATTGTCCGTGTTTATAACACTTGCAAAGTCTTAAAGCTGCTATTTGTTGTCATCAATTGGTAATGATTTTTGCACATGTGCAAAAAGTGTGAAATTCGTGCAAATTCTCATCAGCAGGCAGACGTAGGTTTCCTGAACGATGGTGCAGACATTTAACTGATCGTTAGGCCTATTGCGTTTCTTGATCCGCCTCCATTTTTGTTGTCTTGACCGTAATGGTTTTGTTAAGGTACACATCAAATCGCAGCAATATGTAATAAATATAGCGAGTGTAAGTGGCATAATTCGAAGCACATCGCTTCGGAGGCATCGTTTGACCCCGGAAATAAGTCTGACAAATCCACACTGCACGCCCGGCCTGCTGATTGGCCAAAATTGACGCATGCGCCAGTTTTGATTGACAGATTGGATCGGTCTATTGTACATGCGACTATAGCTTGTGATTCCTTGGAACTTTGTTTTCATCGTTTGGGACTGGGCTGTGTCCAAGCGTTTTTCAAAGTAGATGAACATAACAGTGACAACCTTGCGGGGAAACTGGCAGAGAGCAGAATTATTTTGTGAACGATGCAACGGGATATGATGGAGTATGACTATGAGTGGCATAAATGTGGTGTTTCGCCAGACCGTTAGATCTATCTTGCAAATTTCCCATTCTAAACGGAATTAAATATACCATTTACCAGGTAGGTAAATGTTTACTAATGTTTTGCTGCATATTTTGTATAAATAGGGATGTATTTTTACAAGGCTTTCTGATTTATATGTTAGATATTGTTTTGTTTATGTTTGGGGCTGTGTATTGTAATTGAGTTTGAATATTTTTATAATAGAAGGTAATATGATAGTGAGGTTCCCTCATAATTTTTTGGGGGAAATCATATAACTGTATTTTTCGAGTTTAAATAAATGTTTTATCAGCATTTCCATCACGTCTGTTGTGTTGATATTAGTCATGTTGGTGGTCAAGCTGAAGTAGTGCGGCAGTGTTCTATACGTGCGCAGTGAAGCGCAATGAAATCAAACGCATTTTTAATCCACAAATTTCCAATTGCCTGTGTGGAAAATTCGAAAGTCAGCGTCAAAATCCATGGAGTTGTTGTTATGATCCGCCATCATTGTGGTCAAACGGAAGTAGTTCTCACAATAAGATTTGTTAATGCGCGGTGAAGCGGCCTTACAATCAGATGAGCGTCAATCCACAATTGATGCCTTCTGATTTTTCTGAACAACCAATCAGAATCTAGTATTTTCTTGATTCATGGTAGAATGTATTACAGTATACCGTTTTGTTATTGAATAACGAAGGAAAATATTTGTTGTGAATGACAGTAAGTGTAGATTTTAATTCAAACCATAAGATAATAACAAAAACTTCATATACGTTCTTTACCCAATATACCGGTTCTTAGAAAAAAATATTGCTATACCTATCGTTTGAAAGCGTATGGCGATATACCGGTAAACCGGTAATACCGCGCAGTCCTAGTATTCAGCAACCCATGCTGTCGTATCTCAGTTGCGTTGATCAATCACTGGATTGTCTGGTCCAGATTAGATCATTTACAGACCGCCGCCACATAGCTGGAAAATTGCTGAATGTGGCGTTTGGAGTGAGTGAGTTTAGTTTTACGCCGCACTCAGCAATATTCCAGCTATATGGTGGCGGTCTGTAAATAATCGAGTCTGGACCAGACAATCCAGTGATCAACAGCATGAGCATCGACCTGCGCAATTGGGAACCGATGACATGTGTCAACCAAGTCAGCGAAACTGACCACCCGATCCAGTCTTACGACAAGCATAGTCGCCTTTTATGGCAAGCACATGGGTTGCTGAAGACCTATTCTATCCCGGATCTTCACGGGTCTGTGGCGTTTGGAAACACGAAAAAGAAAGACAATCACGGACAGCCAAATAATCCTAGAAGTTATCAAGTGTTCTCACCATGAGCCTCATTCCCTATCTCATCTATATTCAAAATAATATTATTGTAATTTTGACAATAATGAATAGAAAATTGTTGCAATAAATATATATTTGTAAGCTATGTACCAGTAAGTGGGACAGACCCAAACAAGCTTATTTTGTGTTCACTGCTATTACTTTATATTCTACACATTTATAAATACGTCTCTGTACATTTTTTGTATAAGTATCTGCACAGTTCTAAATTGATCCATTAATTTTGCAGTAAACGACATCTTATATATTCATAATAACATGTATTCTATTAGCCATGTCATCTGTATCTATTGACCACCACATGTATTGCGTCGTCATAGCATTGTGACGTCACGGCCAGAGTTAACAGTTACTGTTCAGTTTTACCTGCTGATGGGGCCAGAACAAGCCCTGAAACGTTGTACTCAAGAATAAAAAGAAGATGTAACCCAGAAAAAATCTCTATGTTAAGCTTATTTTGGATAATCCTGTCCCCCCGTGTCGTAGAATATTTTAATTTCAAAACACCCTCCCATGTCCCATGCGTTGCACTTAGATTTCCATAACTATTCGAATTTACCCATTCATGTTTTATGATAGGAATAAGAGGACGAATATCATGTCAAGTTCGTTAACGAGCCTGCTTATTTTTTTCTTTTCCATTTGTTTTCAGGCCCAAACCGAACATGGTGGTCGCACATCTGAAAATCAGTACGTATGATGTGACAAAGGACATATACTATTCCCAAAAAGAAACGCATAACCCAGAAATCTGTTGCGAAAATGTTGTATTTTTAAACATGTATAACTCGTCCACAAATAGAGTTTAGTACATGAATTTTTATATCGGTTTAGAAGAAGATAATCTCCATTCTTTCAATGGCGATGTTCCGTGTCGCAGCGTCAAGACGTGGCGTAGTGATTTGACCTTGAAACGTCTTCATAACGAATGTCGATTTCCGAAAGTAATCTGGAGTTTTATAGCCAGACAGTGCATGCTCTTTGCTGCACAATTTCAACTGGAAGATGCTTTCTGTTGCGTTGTGGCGATGCCTTTTTAATCCTTGTAAGAAATCTCATCAAAATCAACATTATCAGGTAAAGTCGATTTTTAACTTGTACAATTCTGTAAAATCATGTTATCAATACTTTTGTTACATATTTTCACGATTGTTTAAACACAATAGGCAATTAATAGATTTTAAAAAATACAAAATGCCAATGCGATTCTGTTTTGGGATAGTATATTACGATTAGGTGGATACTAAAATTTCAGTTTAGAATATGCTATCGAAGCATCAGTATTTTGTACACTGAACGTGTTGTCAGAACGACTGACTACTGACAACCATTATCTGAATGAACACACACATATATATATATCTATATGTTAATTCTATAGCGCCAATATACAGCTCCTCAAAGGCGCTTTGATTTTCCCTCGATCATTACATGTCAATCCCAAACGGCACATGGTATCATCAATCTCAGCTCCCTGGGAATTATACAGCCATTTAGGCCAACCAAGTTAATGTGGCGTTCCCATCATTACGAGGTACCCATTCACAGCTGGTTTTACTGCACACTGCTGTACCCGCATCTACGTGTTTGCACGTATTCATGTGGCCACCATCTGGTCATATACCAACGGATTCGTGGGTTCTTTTAAGTGACAACACACATAAAGTTGACTCCAAGGTTTTTACATCCGGTCACAGGTGGGCTCGATCCCGACACCTTACGATCGCTGGATGACTAGCCTGGCGCCTTAGCCAGCTCGCCCTCGATGCCCCCCACAAATATATACTAGGTTTAATTTGATTGTTTATTGTTTAACTCCGCACTCAGCAATGCTCCATGTAAAAATGGATTTTCCTGGTGTTGAGGTATTATATTGAAAAAACAAAAATATATTTTAATGTTACACAACAAATATTTACCATTAACTAAATGAAATATGTATCGTAATGTGCACATCGCATTTCAGGTCTGTACAATTGCTAGTGGAACGGCTGGGTCTGCAGCCCCACCCTGAGGGCGGATTCTTCTCAGAGAACTGGCGCAGCGAGAGAAATGTCACGGTGTCCGAACCAGAGTAAGTGAGTGAGGGAGTTTGTTTGCTGTTTGTTGTTAACGTCGCGCTCTATAATCCAGCTTTACGCGGGGGTTACATCCGAGGTCTCAAGGGATGGCTGCCAAGGGAGCTAACTATCATGTCCTACCTACGATCAAAGCCATTCATCACCACTCACCCCTTTCCGTAATGGTCTAGAAGCCCTGTTAAGGCGCAACATGTCATTTATGGTAATATTTTAACCGATAACGTTATGGTTTAATTCAATAACTCTGGTTTGGATTGGCCGATTTTCATCAAAATAGCAGTTTTGGAATGCTCAGATCATGATTAAAAATTGTGCACAACAATGTATCATTTGTCGCCTCACCAACGACTACGTCGACGATGAAAAATCGACGTCCGGCTTCTGAATGTGTGTAAGTGATAGAGCGGGTCTCCAAACGGGAACATTGGCCGCTCGGTCCCGAGTTGCGTTCTGTCACCTGATTACCATTTTATGTACCATTTCGGCTATTATTTGCCAACCATAATAAAACATGGCTGCCGCCTTCTTCAATTCTACCGCTGACTTTTGTCTTCAGTCTCTTGTACACCATTTTGAACTACCATCCGAGAGCTTCCCCAACTCGTCTGCCACCGTTTATACCAACTTCTGTGCGTGTATGGAATAGCTGATAGTGAATATATGTAACTTGACAATTCCCTCTGTGAGGTACGACTTATGTAATGATCAGTTGATATTTGCGACATACAATGTGTTGTCTATAATAGCATTTGGAATGATCTAATACTATTCATTCATTAACCATTCTGACAGGTATTCCTTAACCATTCTCACAGGTTCACAAATTTGTTGGACCCGTAAAAATCATCATCATCATCATCATCGTCGTCGTCATCATCATCATCATCGTCATCGTAAATATTTCCTCGAATTAGTACTCGTGCAAGAATGGTTTCATCTTGTTTACCTGCTCCGCCTTCAGTTTCAGAGTGGTCCGGTCAGCGAGGACTAATATATACTACCTCCTTGAGGAGCATGACTTCAGTGCCTGGCATAGGCTGAAGGAAGAAGAGATCTTCTACTGGCATGCAGGAGGGAAAGCTCAGGTGAACATGACGATAAAATTCAATTTTTGAATTTAATCAAATATGTATATGTTAGCATCTGCTCATCTGACAGTGTTTGAGGGCTCGCGTTCTCTTATTCCAGAAAATAACCGGAAACCAAATACCACATGACAAAAATGATTTTGTTGTTGAAAACTATTTCATCATTGGTCTTCTAATCTCGGATATTCAATTCTATAGGCAGCTGAACTATGTTCTGTTGTAGGTCCATACCATCGACAAGAGCGGTACTCTGACCACGGTCTACCTGTGTGATGTCTTTCAAGATGATGACTGTGTATATGAAGCAATAATGCCAGACTCAACCTGGATGGCTGTCGAGCCAGTAAAAGGGTCCGGATTTGTACTTATCGGAGATGCTGCTTTTCCAGGTAAACCAGTTTGTTGGATGTCTGTCGCCACATTCCACAGTATTGCAGGTATACGTTGTGGCCTGTAAATATCGTTTGTGGACTAGATAGTACACTGATTTACCATGCAGATCGACCTGTGCAATTGTGATTTGATGACATGTGTCAACCAAGTCAGCGAGCCTGACCACCCGATCCCATTAGTCGCCTCTTACGACAAGCATGGGTTGCTGAAGATCAGTTCTAACACGGATCTCCCTGTGCACACAAAAACGAATATACTAATAAAGCCTAATTGTTATATTTACGGATTGATGGTAACAAAATGTTCCGAATGTGGACAATCGGCTAGGTATAAATAAATTTTTGGAAAAGTAGTTTTGAATAAGGGTTATTTCCACCTCTCCTAAATCAGTCATCCGTCCCTCGGTCGTGCATCCTTTGTTCCTAATTAGTCATCATCAGTTAGTCCTCTTTATCAGTCACAATCACCATTTTCATCAATCATCAATTGTTGATGCAGTGCCTTGTCTTTCAGGCTTGATTATTGCAATGCTCTCTGTGTAAATGTTACAAATCTTCTAAATCAGTCATCCGTCCTTCGGTCGTGCATCCTTTGTTCCTAATTAGTCATCATCAGTTAGTCCTCTTTATCAGTCACAATCACCATTTTCATCAATCATCAGTTGTTGATGCAGTGCCTTGTCTTTCAGACTTGAGTATTGCAATGCTCTCTATGTAACTGTTACAAAAATAGCCATAGCCAAGTCACAGAGAATTCAGAACTAGCTTGATGCATCGCAAATATTCCTAGAACTGAACACATCACTCCTTCCCTTGAAACCATGCACTCATCGTCTGGCTTCCCATCTCTCGAATTATCTTCAAGATCTGTATTATCATCCACGACTGCCTCAAGAATGGTCACTATCCTTCATACCTTAAGGACTTGATCTCCCTGTATTCCCCTAAACGTGCACTTCAATCTGCCAGTGGGGCACTACTTCATCAGCCTCTGTCTACTTCTACGATGTCTGACCCTGCCTTCACAGTTTGCAGTCCCCAGTTAAGGAACTTTGTGACATCTGAACTAAGAAACATCAAATCCAAAGACCTTTTCAAGTCTCTCCTTCAAACCCACCTCATACACTCAGCATTCCACTAGACTTTCAGGATTGTGTGAATATATGTGCATGAATTTGGTTTTACCTTTGTCATAGCGCCATTGAGCACCTGTCAATGGATACTAGGCTCTTTACAAATCAATTGTTATTGTTATCATTATTATTAATCACCATCTTATATTTTTTCTAGGGTTTGACTTCAGGGACTGGGAACTGGGCCGAGCGAGTGACTTGATACGGGACTTCCCTGCACATCGTAATATCATCAAGCGGCTTACCAGGCAGGAATAAGACCACCCATAGATTATGTCTGAAACTAATTAAAAAGTAAAACCTGGTAATTGATTGGTTGATATTTAAGAGATAGACAAGACCAACGCCTTCACAATTTCATAATAAAGTCCAATGCTACATTTGGTGATACAGTTTAGACGTAATGCTACGGCTGGTAACATACTGCTACATTTGGTGACACAGTTTGTTACTTAATGCTACATCTCGTAATAAAATTTAGTCCAAATGCTACATTTGGTGAAGCAGTTTAAATTTAATGCTACATCTTTTAAAACGTTTAGACCAAATGCTTCACCTGCTGACACAGTTTAGTCCAAATGCTTCATCTGGTGACACAGTTTAGTCCAAATGCTACATCTGTTGACACAGTTTAGTCCAAATGCTACATCTGTTGACACAGTTTAGTCCAAATGCTTCATCTGGTGACACAGCTTAGTCCAAATGCTTCATCTGGTGACACAGTTGAGTCCAAATGCTGCATCTGGTGACACAGCTTAGTCCAATTGCTACATCTGGTGACACAGCTTAGTCCAAATGCTGCATCTGGTGACACAGTTTAGTCCAAATGCTACATCTGTTGACACAGTTTAGTCCAAATGCTACATCTGTTGACACAGTTTAGTCCAAATGCTACATCTGTTGACACAGTTTAGTCCAAATGCTTCATCTGGTGACACAGTTTAGTCCAAATGCTTCATCTGGTGACACAGTTTAGTCCAAATGCTTCAAATGCTGCATCTGGTGACACAGTTTAGTCCAAATGCTGCATCTGGTGACACAGTTTAGTCCAAATGCTGCATCTGTTGACACAGTTTAGTCCAAATGCTACATCTGGTGATGCTACAGTTTAGTCATCTGACGACACAGTTTAGTCCAAATGCTGCATCTGGTGACACAGTTTAGTCCAAATGTTGCATCTGCTGACACAGTTTAGTCCAAATACTGCATCTGGTGACACAGTTTAGTCGAAATGCTACATCTGGTGACACAGTTTAGTCCAAATGCTGCATCGTGTGACACAGTTTAGTCCAAATGCTGCATCTGGTGACACAGTTTAGTCCAAATGCTTCATCTGTTGACACAGTTTAGTCCAAATGCTGCATCTGGTGACACAGTTTAGTCCAAATGCTGCATCTGGTGACACAGTTTAGTCCAAATGCTACATCTGGTGACACAGTTTAGTCCAAATGCTGCATCTGGTGACACAGTGTAGTCCAAATGCTGCATCTGGTGACACAGTTTAGTCCAAATGCTTCATCTGTTGACACAGTTTAGTCCAAATGCTTCATCTGTTGACACAGTACTGTCGACGTCCTCGGAAATATAAACCTTAACACGTCTCGCTTAATCTTTAGAAACATCAAAACATGCGTATTCTTAACCACGGAACTGTAACCACGCGTCTGTTTTTTGCTTTGTCAAGTTTGTGTTTGAAATCTCATATGCATGATTTATCTACACTGGCCCGAATGGCGAAACCTCAAGAGAGTATCGTTTCAGGTAAAAAGCCCCTTTAGAAGTTAAAACTGTAAAAGTTATTAAAAATCCTGAAAAATTCACTTGACACGTCAAAAAGGCCTCATTATACCATAGCCACCAACACACGCACACAACATACACAGGCAGATTGGCAGGCACCATGTGTCATCTGCAGTTTGTACTTCCGGTTTGGGTAGAACAGGGAAGTGTCACCTGCCCTTGGTTAACAGACCTAGGAACATTCGTCACCCCTTTCCATAACCTCCGAGAAGAGTCGCTATTCGGCTTGTCCCGGAATAACAGGAGTGGGTCACGGGATGAGTGAGTGAGTGAGTGAGTGAGTGAGTGAGTGAGTGACTTTAATTTTACGCCGCACGCAGTAATATTACAGCTATATGGCGGCGGTCTATAAATAATCGAGTCTGGACCAGACAACCCAGGAATCAACAGCATGAACATCGATCTATACAAATGGGAACCGATGACATGTGCCAACCCAGCTGCAGTCAGAGAGCCTGACCACCAGATCCCATTAGTCACCTCTTACGACAAGCATGGGTTACTGAAGATCAATTCTAGCCCGGACTTCACGGGTGGGTCACGAATGACCTAGGGACACCACACGCCATTACTCCCACTAACATATTCTCTCGAGTCACAGGAATAATAATATTGTACATTTTTTACGCTTAATCTTGACTTGATTAGTGGCGGTCCGATTAATTGAAATAATCGAAGATTGGTCGTAGTGACTAAACGACCAAGCAATCGATCATAATTTCTCATAATAGAACACAAACAATTTTCGAACACTTGTTTTCATTAACAATATTTTCCACATGGTTGGTTTTGTCTGTTACATTTTGTAAGCACTACAAGCTCGTTTCAAGTCACGATTGAATTTATCTTAAAGGCTCCAAGAAATTTATGTTCCAAACATACTAGTCATCCTTTACAGATGTGAAATTTTGCCAAAAAGCCCCAGAACTACATGTTTTTTTCCTTATTTATATGTGCATTAACAAATTTCATAAATGACGCTAATCAATTAATTTCGATGATTGATCGGTTGTAAAGAACCAATCATCAATTATGAGATTTTAACCAATTCCCAACACTATACGTGATGGAATAATTTTTTTATATAGGAATTTCGAACTTCGAATATCGCAAACTGCTCTAAGAGTTCCTTAAAGTTTGTTGTTTCCAAAGTTGACTGTAGTATATTCATTGTCAACAAGGCTTCTGTTCACTGTTATGCAAAACAGTTCCAAACTAACAAAACGAGAGTAATATATGATTCCGTGAGCCGAAGTCCACTAGATGACGTCATATCCTGCATGCCCACGTGGCGTTCGGACAATCGGGGACAATCACAGGAACGGAGCGCAGTCACAAACCTCATGCCCCTCGCACTGCCGTCTTCAGTAAACTCCTGCAACATTTTGTCACCTAGGTCTCCTTGCAAACATGGATGCTTCCTTACTTCCGTGACAACATCCGGGCACTCTGGTAGACATTCGCCATGTTTGAAGTCACAGTGTTTCAGTATCTGTGGACAAAACGAGATAGGGAGTGAATAGGTTAACACTCAGTTTTGAATGGTATTTACTTTATTTCAAATGTTCCTGAGAGGCGTGTTGAAACAAGTGATCAACATCATGAGCATCGATCTTGGCAATTGGGATACGATGACATGTGTCAACCAAGTCAGCGAACCTGACCACCCAATCTCGTTAGTCGCCTCTTAGGACAAACATGCGTTACTGAAGATCAATTCTATCCCGGATCTTTACGAGTCTTCACGGGATAGCAGAGACACTGCAATATCACTACGCCACTGGTCCCCGAGGAAATGAGAAAAGCCCACACGTTTTCTGAGAGCCCGGTTTCAATTTGTGGATGAAATACAAAAAAAAGTATAATTATTTTTTATAAATATACGTCTGTACATAAGCGGTCATAAGCATAAATAACCTTGTGGAAAATCTTCTGTGTTGCTGGATGTGTTAGATTCTTGAAACTTTGAACATGACAGCCACGGTAAAATCCGTCGTCGTCCACCATGCAAGAGTTGTAGTCGCCCCAGCCGTCGCAGTAGATGTTAGAGACGGCAGATTTTGGATAGAACATTAGCAAGGAGTAACACATTTCGTCATTCGTCCCCTCGCCCCAAACCGTCGTGACCCGACGGGAGACGGTGCGATACACGCAGGTGGTCTTGAAGACGTCCCCCGGTCGAACCTCCAGAGGAGGATCAAAACTACAACAGACACAAAATTATTGAATAGTTATATACCTAGACGCCATAGTATTCTGTCCATCCAATCTTATGCTTGTCTACATTCATCACTTGCACAGAGGAAAATGTTTCGACATGTTGTTAGAATTTGAGGGGCAGCGCTTTCGGGACTGTCGCCATCTCATGCGTGACCCACTCGTGTTATTCCGGGACAAGGTGTTAAGTAACCCATGCTGGTCGTAAGAGGCGACTGACGGGATGGGGTAGTCAGACTCGCTGACGTGGTAGACACATGTCATCGTACCCCAATTGTGTAGATCGATGTTCGGGATGTCAATCACTGGATTGTCTGGTCCAGATTCGATTATTTACAGACCGCCACCATATTGCTGGAATATTGCTGAGTGTGGCGTTAAGCAACAACGAAAGAAAGATGATCTGCGCTGAACCTGTGGACTGTGAATGTTTAAGGCAGGCGCATTGTCTCGTTTGGCGAACTCTCGTTATGACGCCTAAAATTGTCATTTTGATGCAAGTCTTTCTTTTCAAAAAAGTAGTATTTATCACTGTTTTGTTCACGGTTTCCTACAGATCATGGACTCACGTGTTAATTACGGGGTTGTCGTAGGTGTAGTAGGCTTCATTTGTCAGGTACTGTAATCTCTTCCCCTCCCGCAGGTGTTCAACGCTCTCAGAGATTCCTGAAATTTGTTATATTGTTATAGGATATTTATATAGCGCACATATCCAGGCAACTAGTGCATGATCAAGGCGCTGGTATTTTTTCCCTCGATCATTGGATGTCAATCTCAACGGCCCATCGCATTATCAATCTCAACTCCCCTGGGGAGTATACAACTCTTGCAGCCACTAGGCGCACCGAGTTATTGTGGCTTTCTCATCCTAACGAGGTACCCATTCACAGCTGGGTGGACTGGGACACATAGTCACAGTACTTTGTCCATGTTCACTGCACGTTGCTGTACCCGCAACTAGGTGTTTGCACGTATTCATGAGGCCACCATCTGGTCATATACCAACGGATTCGTGGTACTTTTAAGTGCACAGGGTTGTGTACTGTACACTAGGGGTTGTGACAACACTGAAAGAGTCTGCACACAAAGTTGACTACGAGGTTTTTACACCTGGTCACAGGTGGGCTCGATATCCCGACACCTCGACCTCGCTGGATCACTAGCCTGGCGCCTTAGCCAGCTCGCCCACCGGGTGAGTATAGAGTCATGCCCTGACGATGCAAGATGTGAGTATAGAGTCAATTATGACCTGACAGTGGACCATGTGAGTTTAGAGTCAATTATGACCTGATATAATTGGAAACAACAGGCGCATCGTTACATATTTCCTGAGGGACGGCGTGGTAGCCTTGTGGGTAACAGTCTCCTTCGGCTAGTGCCTTTCAGGGCTAAATGAAAGACTCACTGAAGGTGTGTCCTTCTACAAGAACATGCGTCTGTCGTTTCCATGACTACATTACAGGACTGGCTTTGAACTCAGTAGACATCTTCCTATTTCATAATAAAAAATAGGGCTTCGGGGTAGCCGCCCCACACATGGGTAAATATGTGGAGCCCATTCCTGGGGCCGGATTCACAAAATTTCTTAGAATTTTCTTAAGCCTTAAGAATTCTTAAGTCTGGTAAGAATTCTTAGTTTCCAAGAAACTTAAGCATAGAAACTAAGAAAATTCTTAGAAGTTTAGTGAATCCGGTCCCTGGTGTCCACGCGGTAATATTACTGGAATATTGCTAAAAGGGGCGTAAAACGTAACTCACTCACTCACTTACTATAACGGCCTTGCGTGACACTCGCATATTGTCGGCAAATTTCATCAAAGTACATGTCATAGTTGCTTGCGAAAATATAGTACCTAAATGCAAGATAATATGTTGTATTTGATAATGCTGATCAACGTAGGGAATTGAACCCGGAATTTGGAGTGCCGATGGAACGCTTTAACCACTATGCTACCCAACCGCCCCTCAGGATAAACAAACCTAATGATGCGCACGTAGTGATGTGGACAGTTGTTACCAACAGTGTCCCAGGGATAGGGATAGAGAGAATGTGTCTACAAAACTCCTCGCCACCACAATTATACGCCTATTTAACAAATATTTCACCAAAAATAGGCTTTACCCACATGGGAAATCGAACACGGGCGAGCGAACGTTTTAACCAGGACACTACCCAACATGATTGGGTTTAAACCTTTGAAACCATGTTGGAAGTCGAACCGGCGTAACAAGCTAACACTTCACTAACTAAGCTAACCGCAAAACCTAAGGGATGGTGGGATAGCCTTGTGGTTAAAGCGTTCGCTCATCAGGATGAAAACCCCGGTTCGATTCCCGTCATGGATACAATGTGTGTGTATCCCCGTCGTGGAATATTGCTAAAGCGGAGTAAAACTAAACTCACTCACTCACTCACTCATTGATACATACCCATGTAATGCATATGGTTGAGAGAGTTAGTGATGTATATAGGCCTGGAAAAACGGCGTTTTGTACACTCAGACGGGCAAGTTGACTGAACAACTATTTTCGACTGCCCTGGTGGTAACATCAGACGTTCCTGACCCGTCCACAGAATTCCTGCATCGTATTGGCGTAGTCGTGGTGTGTAGAAGATCTTTAACCCCGACGCGTCATGGTAGTCGTCGCGCATCTCGGGTTGTTCCAGTGCAGCTAAAACATATGAAGGTGATAATGTTAGATAATAAAAAAGTACAAGATATTAGTGAGTGAGAGTGAGTTTAGTTTTACGCCGCAGTCAGCAATATGGCGACGGTCTGTAAATAATCGAGTTTGGACCAGACAATCCAGTGATCAACATCATGAGCATCGATCTACGCAATTGGGATGCGATGACATGTGTCAAGCAAGTCAGCGAGCCTTACCACCCGATCCTGTACAGAATATTAGATACATCACGTTGTATTTAACGTCGGCTATTTTGTGCAACAACACAACACTGCCACTTAGAAAAATGTAAGCGCTATTATTCCGACTAACAGACTGGAGAGAAAAACACAGGCAGGTGACATGATATAGGTGAAACCTGAAGTTCTCAGTATTTTGGTGACGAGTGTCTGTGAGATAGTAGTAAAAATGTAAAATAATTCACTCGTATTGGCTGATTGCACCTTCGACACCTAACGGGTTCGAGATGGATACAGTTAGAATAATATCATCGATATTCGTATGGACGCATCAGGGTAAATGTCGCATTGATCATACATGGATACCTTGAATAAACATATGATTATCACCATAAAATTTCTAAAACGATCGAAGAGTATGTAAATATACATTCGTATCGACCTTGGTCGGTGGGGTAGCCGAGTGGTTAAAGCGTTCGTTCGTCACGTCGAAGACTCGGTTTCGATTCCCCATATGGGTACAGTGTGTGAAGCCCATTTCTGGTGTCCCTTTCGTGATATTGTTGGGATATTGCTAACAGCGGCTTAAAACCCAACTCACCTCCAGTAGCACCTTCTTGTAGCCGGAAGTACCGAGCCTGAAACCAGCCTCTCCTTGTACAGGCACTGACCAGCCAGGCCCACTGTCCACAAAACCAATGACGTCATTGTAACCCCGCTCCGCCATATAGCATTGGCGAGGATGGTGGATCTTAGGCACTGAGTTGAAATGACAAATACTTTATTTTTGTTAAAAAAAAAAAAGAACACACATAAACGAATTCCTGTAAAATATCTTATCTGGTTCAGACAATCCCATATCATAAGCAACGTCCCACATCCTCGGGGTACAAGGGGTTATTTTATTGAAATATAAAACGTCAATGCTAGAGAATGCTAGACACGACAAATCCCAATGCTCGTAAAAGCGATAAAGAATTACTGAAAATAATTGACACCAGATGTTAGCGATAGAAACGTTTGACAGTGACGACAGCGTAACAAGGATCAAGAAGAATACATACTATCACAGTAGACTACGTTTATAACGAATACGGTTATAACGAACTGACGGATATAACAAACTGACTTCTGGTCCCGGCCACTTGCCTTACATTTCAGTCGATATGCGTATAACGAGCTAAATTTACGATCCCATTGAGTTCGTTACATATGGAAGCGCTGAAGGGACCTGATGAAAAAAAATTTATCTTGAGCGCACAAGTTAGTATCTTGAGCGCTCAACTTCGTGTTTAACACCTAAAGGCATTAATGGAACGCACGTTTCCTTGACTGGTGGCTAAAATGTACAAACTTATATCCTTTTTGGAAGATTTCAAACGATGCAAAGTCGGTGTTTATGATGAGACTATGCAAAAGTATGCAAATGTATCATGAATATTGATAATGTTTATGTAAATGTTCATCGTCTATATTCTTGTCAATACTATTCTTTGTAACTGATTTTACTACTTTTTTGCTTTATTACATAAAGCAGGCCCAGGTATGTGTAATGTAATGATAAGAATTAAAACATAAACATGAGTAGGAGTTTATTGCAGGGATGAATAGTGGTTTTACTGCCTTCTAATATTGGTACAAAGTATTATGAACACTATAGCGTAAAGCTTGGATACGGCTTTATTATGTACATGTATATATAGTATTACATGACCATGAAACATGTAAAACTCATGTCTGATGTACTGAGTTTAATTCTGTACAATAGGTGTCGTGCCGGGAAGGCTTAAATTTATTTTTCAGATGTCCCGGGAAGGCTAAAATGTATATTTCGGATTTCCTGGGAGAGCTAATTTCCAAGGGAGTAGGGGAGTACCGCCAAAGCTAAAGATACGGAGCCGGAAAGCATAATCCATGTCGGGAGTAGAGAGATTTCTTTCCAAAACATTGTTATAGTAGAGTGTTTATCTTCTTCGCTTGTTTAGAACTTGAAGATGAAAGTAATTACAGGGGAATCACCATAAACAGTTGCTTTTCAAAACTCTTTACTTCGGTATTAACAGCGAGACTTGTCTCATGGTGTGAAATATACAACATCATCTCTGATGCTCACTATGCTTTCAAATCTGGTGGGCATCAGAGGTAGACTATGTAAATTTATCGTGTCTAATATGACACTGTGAAATCATGTGTTAAACACAATGGTGAGTTATCTGGCTTCTGTCTATGCTCCCTGGGTATTAAACAAGGGGGGTGTAATGTTACCGATTCTTTTCTCCCTATATCTTGAAGATATTGAAGTAGCACTACAGAAAAGTATCGACGCGGGATTGCTGCTTGACTATATTAACCATTTTATACTACTATTTACGGACGATATGGTGCGCATATCCGAATCACCTGGAGGTTTACAGCTATCACTTTATACGCTTTCCAATTATTGCACAGACTGAAGCCTTAACGTTAATGTAGACAAAAGAAAAAAAAGAAGGTTTTTCGTAAAGGAGGGAAGATTCGACCGGAGGAAATATAGTGTTGTCTTACACAGGCTCCTTTACACCAGCTTATAGAACTTTAGCAGACAAAGGTCGTAGAGCTATGAATGCTTTTCAGTTGTTAAAACTTTTCATTGAAAACCTTGTGTAACTATTCGACACTTTTGTTACCTCTACTATGATGTATGGTGAAGTATGGGGGTATTGTGAAATGTTCTGAATTTGGAATAATTCACAATTTCGTAGGCGTATTTTGCAGATCAGTGCCAAATCATCTACAGTTGCTGTATACGGCGAACTTGGGAGGTACCCTTTATATATAAAAAGGTATATCCGTGTGTTACGTTATTGGTTTAAGTTATTACACAGTGAAGCGTCACGATTTTAGTCTTCCCGGCCACGAACCGTACAATATCATATAACACTTCCTATTTATTTGATCCATTAGTATGTGCACGTATAGCACATATACCGACTTTATTTCTTACTAAAATACCATGTTCCCCGTTTTACTTCCTCCGTTTCAATCCCTTATGTATACGTATGTGTGTTGTAGTTTAATTAACATGTTTTAACAACAGAGGAAGTTGAAGAATAAACACGTCGATGAAGACGGTGTCTTGAGCGAAATTCAACGCCATCCGTGTCCAACACTATTAGCAACGAACGTACACTATCCTGTTTCACGATTAAACCGCATTGGATACATTTTTTTATGCATCCAACGAAAACCATGTCTTTGTCCAGATCGTCGAAGTTGTCCGCAATAAAGTCTGTAACATCAACGGGGGCTCGGTATATTACCCTCGTGGTAAAAGCATCCGCTCGTCACGCCGTCAACATATTCGAACCCCATGGGTACAACATGAAGTCCATTTCTGGTGTCCCCTCAAGATATTGCTGGAACTTGTGCGCTCAACATACCAACTTGGCGTAAAACATACCAACTTTATGCGCTCAATATATTAACTCATTCACTAACATACATCACGCCAATCATGGTATCTGGTTCGAAAGAGGGACATGCAACTCAGAATGCGCTTCAAGTGGCGTACTATACTATACCATGATTTTACAAGAAGATGTGTTATCTTTGTTTTGGAACCAAAGACTGAAATAATGAGTCAGCTCGCGTTTTCCGCTCCTGTGCTTCCTCATGAACTGCCTATGGACTTGTGCGCTCAACATATTAACTTGTGCGCTCAACATTTTAACTTATGCGCTCAATATATTAACTTGTGCACTCAACATACTAACTCGTGCGCTCAAACATACTAACTTGTGCGCTCAAGATGTTAACTTGTGCGCTCAAACATACTAACTTGTGCTCTCAACATACTTACTAGTGCGCTCAACATACTAACTTGTGCGCTCAACATACTAACTCGTGCGCTCAACATACTAACTTGTGCGCTCAAGATGTTAACTTGTGCGCTCAACATACTAACTCGTGCGCTCAACATACTAACTTGTGCGCTCAACATACTAACTTGTGCGCTCAATATATTAACTTGTGCACTCAACATACTAACTCGTGCGCTCAAGATCAATTTTATTTCATCAGGTCCCTTCAGTGCTTCCGTAGTTATAACCGTAGTGTACATACATTTTGTTTTATTTGTATATTTTACAACAGATAAACAGACAAGCGCAGTTCCTCTCTCCCACACTGACATACATTCCGGGCATATCCCGACGCGGCAAGGTCACAACGATTAACTGTTATGTGACATTTACTGTCAGGCCACCTACCCTCATCCCTACAGCCCATCAGTCGGATGTGGTGCATCACATGGATGTTGTCGATTACAGGCTCAGTCGCTATGAGATGATAATCTCGGTCAGCCGGTAGGTCAAAGGTCTGGCAGAAATAGTTCGTCTCCGTACTGGGAACCTTCATTCGAGGGAATCTTAATGTTCTCATTTGAACTTCTGCAATCGATCAAATTTGAAAATACAGCAAAACATGCTTAATCAGAATGATTAATATACAGGGCAAAAGATTTTTCATTTTCATAAAAATATCTTTTCATTCAAGTTCAAAATCTCTCTTGTTTTATTATGGAAATATAATTGCCCAAATGAAAACAGTGGGAAAAGTGTCACTATAATCTCCTCTGTACGAGCATGACTGTACCTTTAAACATTTCTTTATGAGCGAGTGAGTGAGTGAATTCAGTTTTATGCCACACTCAGCAATATTCCAGCTATATGGCGGCGGTCTGTAAATAATCGAGTCTGGACTAGACAATCCAGTGATCAACATCATGAGCATCGATCTACGCAAATGGGATGCAATGACATGTGTCAACCAAGTCAGCGAGCCTGACCACCCGATCCTGTTAGTCGCCTCTAACGACAATCATGGGTTACTAAAGATCAATATTCTAACCCGGATCTTCACGGTTTCTATGTTTATGAATCACTGTCAAGCACAATTGACACCAGGTGTTCCTGAGAAAGTGAATGTGGCGTCCGTCACAAACTCATAGAAAACAAGACTACTATTCACCTGAACAAATCTCAAAATAGAAAATTGCATAAAACATCAAATTTCGCTAACTTTGGAAATATCCTTATATCTAAATTTATATATATACTGTAATATTTACTATAAAACATTTTAAAAGTTTTACCGGCTTTGAACTTTGTAGTCCTGATCAGACGGGTTTGCGGCAGGAGTGGTATGACCTCGTAAACTGGCGGGCATTAACACATTTCCGTACTAGTAAAATCCAGTTAATATCCCTAAGGACCGCCACTACAGGGTTAAAGTACTGACTGACTGAGTTTGGTTTTACGCCGCTTTTAGCAATATTCCAGCATCATCACGGCGGGGACACCAGAAATCGATGTACCCATGTGGGGATTCGAACCCGGATCTTCGGCGTGACGAGCCAACGCTTTAACCATTAGGCTACCCCACCGCCCCCCCAGGGTTAAAGTACATGCGACAGTAATTTTAATCCGATATTACAATGTCTCTCGGAAAAAAGCACAATTGAGGAAGAAGAAAATATGATTAATGAGGTCAAGTTTAGTTAGAGGTGCTTTTACTTTCGTGTGAATGCGTGTGCGTGCGTGCGTGCGTGTATGTGAATGCGGTTCACTATTTTCTATTCACCTGGCTCTGAAGTTGCACTGCAGTTGAATTCCTCAGTCTCACACGACACCCAGCCATTGTCTGCACTACATTCTTGGCCTCCCCAAGGATCGCATATTCCTGGGCGAAAACTAACCTTTGTTCATGTCGTGACAATGCGGTTTCGGATCATGAGAGTAATTTCGGTGAATAACAAGTTACTTTCCTCGAGTGTAAACAAAAGCCCTTAATTGTTTACTCATTTTATTATCATTTCTCATCACAGACTTTTCTAAGGGATGATATGACATATACACAGCTCTGAAATTTCCTTTATATGTTTAAGCAACAGTCGCGTCTGGAATTAGATCAGTAAAATGTGTCTTGCTAATCTTTGTTTTGCTTTGACTCACTGACATGTCAACAGACATGTTTAATTTCAACATATAAAATATTTTTTTCCAAAAGCACCTACATTCTTTGAACAAAAATAATCACGTGTATGGATACATCTGATTTTTGTTATTCCATCATTTGCGAGTTACAACTGAAGTTGATCAATAAAATATGCAAAGAGTTCGTAATGATTAGTAAGGGGTGTTCGAAAATTACATTTGTCAATATCCTATCTATGATCCATACAAAGTATCATTTTCCCCACGTTTCATAAATATTACGAAAAAACTTGCAGAAGACAACCTGGGTGTGTTATCCCGGAAGTGACGTCGGGTATGTCTCCTTCCTTCCACACACATCCGGGATCTCCGAGTTCCTCGCCGTTTGTCCTTCCGTCATCATCGGAATCCATCTCACAGAAGGTTCGAGTCCACTGACAGGAAGAAGGTAGACGTTTAATGGTCACACTCTAATTATCTCGTACAAAATTCATATAGATGTCGGTTAACTTAAATAACGATACACTCGTATATACTCTCAAAATAGCGTTCTCGTTGATGACAATGAAGGGTACGTGGGTGAAAGGTCTTTTTCCATGCGATGGAAAATGAAAAAGAATAAACAACTTACGCTTTGAGCGGCAGCTAAAATGTCTAATCTAAACTGACAAAAGCGATACAGTTGTTAATAAACGCAAAAATGGCGTTTTCTTTAATGACAATGCAGAGCAAGCAAGTTGAAAGTCTGGCTCCAGGCGGTGAAAAATGAAATTGCAACTTACTCTCTGACCGGCAGCAAAAAAGTCCAAACCAAACTGATTTCTCTGCCCCGTTCCCTTGGGATTCCTGTGTCCCACCCCTGGCCACGTGTGGTGGAGTTTACAGGGATGGGGTACCTGGTCAGCATTTGGCAGCCTCTTCATGAACATCTGATAGGCCAGCGTCAAGCTGGCGTTCATTACCACCAGCATCAGAAACCTGAAGTGAGGGAGTAAGTGAATGGGGGTTTACGCCGCTTTTAGCAATATTCCAGCAGTATCACTGTGGGGGACATCAGAAATGGGCTTCTCCCATTTTACTCATGTGGGGAATCGAACCCGGGTCTTCGGCGTGACGAGCGAACGCTTTCACCACTAGGCTACCCCACCGCCCTAGGAACCTGAAGAGTATGTTGCAGATCATTTGCATTGTTTGTTTCTTTTTGCGTTTAACGTCGCAATATTCCAGCTATATGGAGGCGGTGTGGACAAGGCAGTCCAGTGATCAACAGCATGAGCATCGATCAACGCAGATGGAATGCGATGACATGTGTCAGCCAAGTCAGCGAGCCTGACCATCCGATCCTGTATGTGCCCTCTTAAGACAAGTATGGGTTGCTGAAGATAAATTCTAACTCTGATTTAATTAATAACGTAATTAAACCCTCATAAATTTTAAGATTCTGTTGTGCAACAGATTAATGGAGCTTCTAATAACATTATTAGCCCAGCGGATAAGTGATCAAATTGTGCACTCTGTGTTACAAGCATGAAATTTGGCATAATTGTGGCTTATACCCTTCTTATTAAATAAAGATCGAGAGGCCTTGCAGAATTTATATATTTTTCATAATTTGAAAATGGACCGAGTCTGCGAGGCTTTTGGTATTGAATTTGCAAAGAAATGATTAAAACATGTTAGATCACGGGGTGATCTCATACTTATTTTACTGATGCAGTCTATATGGCGGCCATTTTGAAAAATGGCCGGCAATTTTGAAAAATGGCCGGCAATTTTCCAATTTTCGGGTAATCATGATATATATTGACTTCCGTAGACCTAACAGTTAAAGATAAGAAAGCATGTATAGATGAAAAATGATCAGCTATGAATTTCCTACAATTTGATATATGACTTATGAGAATTGGAGAATTTTAAAAGAAGTTATGATGAAAATAGTAGAAAAAATGATTTATTTTTTCCAATTCCCCAAATAAATAAAAAATTTATGAAAAGTATAAAAAAATCTGCGAGGCCTCTCGATCTTTATTTAATAAGAAGGGTATAAGCTACAATCATGCCAAATTTCATGCTTGTAACACAAAGTGCACAATTCAGTAAAAAAACTACACTTATCCGCTGGGCTATATTATTTTTTCTACAGTAAACTAAATTTCGATTCAGAATCTGAAGAAACTTACGCGAATGTTAAAGAGAGGTGTACGACAAGGATGTCTTTTGCGACCACGAAAAAAGTAAACATGAATAAATTCCAGAAAAACCTGTTAGTATATTTATGAATGTGACCAAAATTATCTTTATACTCTCATGTAACGTGAGCGATTCAGTGGCCTGGGGTATGTGTGTGGTTAAAGCACTCGCTCGTCACGCCGAAGACCCGGGTTCGATTCCACACATTGACAAAATGTGTGAAGCCCACTTTGGGTGCCCCCTGCAGTTCGATCCCCTACATGGGTACAATGTGTGAAGCCAACAATTAGTGTCGTCCACCGTGATATTGCTGGAATATACTTCTTAGAAATATTCTGTGGCGATAAATCGTTTTCGTTTGCCATTTCAATTTTATTACTCTACCTTTCCACTATGCTTAGAGAAAAACAACAGGAAGTAACAGTACCTTAAGTGAGCCATCATGCATGAATTCCTGTCAGAAGACGGCTGCTGTGAAACCTATACTAGCAGACCACCTGGCAGTGGGGCAGTGCATCTGGTAGGGGACAGGAGGATGTTAGCGACCTAGTTATGGTTGATTTTGAGAATGGTGGCTGACCTTTAGAGACAAGTGGGGTTCCACAGCTGACGATGATACACCGCAATTACTGTCTACTGACTCGCTAAATGTTTTCAGAACAGAACAGAACAGAACATAATTTTATTCTCGTATATCATACAGAATGATATAGAGAACATACAATCGTTTATAATACAACAACAAGTGGAAATATTGGTTTAGAAATGACTATGAACAGTTTTAGCAAACAGTGATAGTTTCAATAGGAGTGGGGTATAATCTGATTTCATAAATGAGATGGATTTGTCCATACGTGGATTATTTCAAAAATGAGAGGGAAGTGGCTTCTTACGTTCAACGTGTTTTCAACGAGGCCATTTTGTATCATTCGAGACCAGCTCGTGTTATTCCGGGACAAGCCGAATACGTCTTGGAGCTTACGGAAAGAGGCGAGTGGTGACGATTGATTTTGTATCATTGGCGGTGATATCAACTGCTCATTCGCCACTACTCGCCTCTTTCCGTAACCTCGCTATTAGACTCGTCCCCTCCATTCGTCACTACTCGCCTCTTTCCGTAACCACGCTATTCGGCTTGTCACGGAATAACACGAGTTGGTCACGAATGATCCACTGCTATGCCTTATACTATCGGGAGGGCAGGTCGTACACTTTTCGCGAACACCTGGTGTTATCATTGATTTTCAGCGATCCATCCAGAGCCAATTTTACCGCCTTTTGTTCTCAATGTAATGGTTTCAGATAGTCAAGACTGGTTGTTATCTGTCATTGGTGTTCACAGGGGCAAAATAAAGTATATATAAACTGAGGTACAAAAGAAAGTACACACCCGGTGCTTTTGGATTACTTTACAAAAAGCGACGTAAATGTTTTGAAAAGAGTTTTTACAGTGATATATAGGTCACAGACTTTCCTAATATGTTGCCAAAACACCACAGATATCGTGCCCAATTGCGAAGTTGCCAGTCAAATCACAACTCTTTTCAAATAATCCCAAAACACCAGGTGTGTACTTTCTTTTGTTCGTCAGTTTATATAGATTTTGTTCTCTATGTAACTGAAAATTGAAAGAAATGTTAAATTCAAATTAACCATCACATATACATGTTCATGTATTTCAACAACGTCAATAACATCGCACAAAACTTGAACACAGCGAAAACAATGACGGGGCGGTGGGATAGCCTAGTGGTTAAAGCGTTGGCTCGTCACACCGAGGACCCGGGTTCGATTCCCCACATGGGTACATTGTGTGAAGCCCATTTCTGGTGTCCCCCCGCCGTGATGTTGCTGGAATATTGATAAAAGAGGCGTAAAACCAAACTCACTCACTCACTCACTCACTTGAGGCCAGAATTGAGTGTCCCATGTTCTTTTGATTGTGTGTAAGGCCTATTTCATGACAAATCTAGGGCAGTAGGTACAACGTTCCTGAACTTGTAAGGATTTTAAAAAATCACTTATTCAAGATAACAGTATGGACATACCCAGAAAAATTATTGTTGGAGTGAGTGAGTTTTACGCTGCTTTTGGTACTATTCCAGCAATATCGATGCAGGGGACACCAGAAGTGGGCTTCACACATTTTGTCAATGTGTGGAATCGAACCAGGGTCTTCGGCGTGACGAGCGAGTGCTTTAACCACTAATACCCCACCGCCCTGACTGTTGGGCAGTTTAAGTCATTCCTCCACGTCATTCAGTCTCATCATGCTTATGTCTGTATATTAAACTGATGAGGCTATTTCATGACTTTTCATTTCTATATATTTCAGCAGCACAAGATTCAGCCCGTGAAGACCCGGGTTAGAATTGATCTTCAGTAACCCATGCTTGTCGTAAGGGGCGACTAACGGGATCTGGTGGCCAGGCCCTGACTTGGTTGACACATGTCACCGGTTCCCAATTGCGCAAATCGATGCTCATGATGTCAATCACTGGGCTGTCTGGTCCGCTTATTTACAGACAACCGCCATATAGCTGGGAATTTGCTGAGTATGGCATTAAATAACAAACGATCAAAGCACAAGAGTGATACAGAGGTTACCCACGTGATGTCCACAAACTGTCTTCACCATGGGTACAACAATGAGTGAGTGAGTGAGTGAGTATGGTGTTACGCCGTTTTTAGCAATATTCCAGCAATATCACGGCGGGGGACACCACAAATAGGCTTCACACATTGTGCCCATGTGGGGAATCGAACCCGGGTCTTCGGCGTGACGAGCGAACGCTTTAACCACTAGGCTACCCCACCGCCCGGTACAACAATGACCTACCACTGACCTTTGCAGTAATAGTGTTAACATGCGTCGGTAGTCCATTTCTCCGTAACATGGCATATTGTTCAACTGATTGAGTGTGAATCAAACCCGATTGGTCATTGTGTGACCCATGACCTTTGTGATGACCTTCACCTTATCACCTCACCATGGGTGCTCTCACAGGTAAGTCATGTGTTTTGCCTTAATCGTAGACTATAATGTTGGTTACCTTTCAGGTATAAATTCATGATCAATATGGTGTATCTGTTGAAACACGTTGTTTAATTAGTCAGTATCTTACAGGGAGTCTACTAGTTAGTGGTTACATGAATTCGTTTCGTTCATTCTTTGTACGTGTGGCCATGTTTATCATATGTTAAGGAAAAAACAAATAAAATCGGAAAACGTGCAAAATATTATGTATATGTGTCTGACATGATCTGTTATATAAACATATGAACATATATTTCTCGACGACAGGTGTATTGCATTTCTAAATTTGGAATTCTAGCTCATGTTAATAGGTCGCCTGATAAAGCCATAGACCTTATCTATCCCAATTCCACAGGTAAATGAATGATACACTGGGAAACGTTGGTTCTTAGAGGAAATATACTTTAGATTCAACTGTGTCTCAACTTATGAAATGTAACTATTTGAGCTAACGTTGTGTCATTGATAGAACAGTTGTTCCTACATGCAATGGACGAGGAAGACAATTACTAAAGCTCACTGTTTTCGAGAAATTTGTAAAAATATGGTTTAATTTAATTTAAAGCAAGGATTAAGTGTAACGTTTTAGAATAAGATACATATTCCACTATAACATAGTATGTATTTACAGTAAAA